GTGGCACCCGAGGCTGGACCCCGATCTCTCTGACACTATATCAAGGTATATACAGGGTATCTATAATACGAACTCGCGTAAAAGGTTGTATTTAGGTAATCAACAAAATGCAGCTTAGAAAGTTTCGAAATTGAAAGTGCTTTCGAGAGACACGAAAAAATTAATTATCCACAAATCGTTTTATTTTTTCTTGTGACTTTATAATTGTAGTGGGATTGCAAAACAAATTTAAACTATTTTGGGAAAATTCGGTTTTTCCGTGTCTGTTTGAAAACATTTTTAATTTCGAAACTTTATAAGCGGCGTTTTGTTGATTAAATAAAAGAGCAATTTTTCTAAAATTTAAGCGACTCCGTATCTTTTAAAGTTTACGAAGTCCCAATCGTGAGGGTCGAAATTGAAACATCCTGTATAGTCCTTAAATAAGTTCCAATGTTTAGTTACCCGTTGCGAAGGTGGACGACTTTTCAAGTTTTAGATGCAAAAATCGGCTTTTGTTCAAAATGCGCTTAGAAATGGGAATGCAGAGTTCAAATTACCATGTAATCGGTTACTTGATCGTTCATGCATTGATTTTTAGAAACGTACTCTCATAATAATAATTCAGTATTTTCTTAAAAATAAAGCTATAAAGAGCAATAGTTTTCGATGAAATAATAAATCACTTCGTTGTTCCGCTCTAATCTGACTGTACCGGTATTCAGGTGACTTGTACAATGCCGATTGCTCTGTATTGTTGCTCTGATGCTCCAAAACTAACTTTGAAGGAGGTTTTAGGTATTAACAATTAATTCTTGTTTGTCAGGATATAATTTTGACCATAGTGGGAATCGCGGCTTATAGTGCTTTTGAACTTGATGCTTGTAGATGTAGTTTACTGACTCTCGCAATGAAGGGTTTCTGTAAGAGCGAATATATAGTTTTGTGGTGAATTTCCAGTGTTCCTTTATTGTATGGTGTACTTAGCGCATTAGGGCTCGCACACACAGAAAGCGTTCAAGCGTTCCGAGTTCTGCGTTCCACGTTCTTTGTAACTAATAGATCTCTATAGAGTCGCGCAAACACAGCTGCAGTCAAACCGGGCGGTTCAGTGTGAACGCTCGCGTTCTTGCATTCTATTGTCAGAAATACAAAGAACTCGTGGAACGCCTGGTTCGCAAGATGACTTCTATAGAAAAATTAATTGATTTAGGAAGGGAAAGGCGTTTTTTATATGATCTTAGTAACACAGACTATAAAAATGGTTAAAAAAATGCAGCAAGGCCACGGAAATGGGGAAATACTGCCAATCTTTCTTTTGTAGATATAACCTTTCTCCCGTTGGTTGTTTCTCATTTTCTTTTTTATATAATCATGCAATTCGTTAAAACTGCTTAATGTCATCCGGAAGTAAATTAAAGGATCAACGCAGGAAAAAGAACACTGAATCTCCTCTTTCATCTCTGTCATAATTAATCAGATGCACCCAGAATCATTATCTCTTACGAAGACGAACCATCAAATACATGTTTCACCTACTGTCTGTGTTAGAACTCGTAAGAGAAATTGACCGAACTAACGCGGCTTGAACGCTGAACGCTTGTCTCTCTGCGCGTGCCCTTAAGGCAGCTGAGATACTCCATCTGAATGCTGAACGTGGAAGTCCATGCTTCATACGGCTTAAGTAAGGAAAACCAGTCTTGATCAACTAAATAACTACAAGCCCCTTCCCACTCCAATTGGCCCAACTATTGAAATCTTAGTTCTTTTCTTATCAAACACAAATAATAAAAATGTAGCAGGGTGTTATAGGTTTAAAATATTAACAATGAATATTTTGATAATATATAGTAGAAAACACCAACTTTATCACTAACTAATCAAATTTGCAGCATAAAAAGAACACATGTTGCAATTACAGCATATCAACCTATTTTCATTTCAATGAAAAATAAGTCTATAACGCATAGGTGGCTGTGAAAAATAAAAGCCATGACAATTGTTTTTATTAATCACATCTGACAGAATATGTTTAAAATAGTTTTGGGTAGTTAAGGTTTTCAAAATGGGTAGAGGAAAGGTTATTAGTGAGAGAATTCGGTTACAGATAATTAAATTTTTTAATTCTGGTAAATCAGACTCAGAAATTGCAACTTTGTTAGACTTATCGCGGTACAGTGTGAGAAATATTGTTAGAAGATATAACGTAACTGGTTCAGTTCATATTAAGCCACGATATGTGAAAAAAAGTAACATCACAAATGCCTACCGAAGAGCATCGAGAAGAATAATCGTGAAAAACAGGCGTGCCAATTATTTACAATTAAGTGCTCTGTGAAGTGACGCTGTTGGAAGAAGAATTTCGAGGTCACAACTCATAGAGAGGCCCACAAACTGGGATTTAGCACTTGCAAGGTAAGTTTTCTTATAAAAAAAAGTGAAGTAAAAACCCTAAAGTTGCATAACTTGTTTATAGGCCAAAGAAAAGCTACTATTAACTCCACTGCAAAAGAAAATCGGCTTAGATGGGCTAAAGAACATAGACAATGGACACCTCAACAATGGTGTGCAATACAATGAGGCCCGATTCGAAGTTTGTGTTGGTGACAGTCGCAGTAGATTTATCCGCAAAAAAATGAAGCATTCCATGTTGACTGTCTGAAGAGAAAAGTGAAATTTCCAGCATCCAATATGGTCTGGGGCAGTATGTCATCAAAAGGAGTAGGAAAACTTCATTTTATTGATGGAAATGGAAATATTTGGCAATTTTAGAAGAATCGCTTTTACCAGTGATGGAAGCATGTTTGACATCCGGCCAAGATTTTGTGTTTCAGCAAGATGGTGCAGCGTGCCATACCTCAAAAAAGGCTATAAAATGGATGGAAGCAAATAATGTACCACTTTTGAAATGGGTTTCTAGCAGTCCAGATCTGTCACCTATTGAAACTTTGTGGCACGAGATGAAAAAGGTTCTATGACAACATCCTGCTCGTACAATCACCGAACTGAGACAAAAGCTTCAAGAAATATGAGATTGTTTTACACCAAATTTTTGCCAAAACTTGGTTAATACTATGTCCCAAAGAATTTCAGCCGTAATAAAAAATAAAGGTGATGTTACCCAATGGTAATATTTCAACTGTTGCTTTGTTAACCTCGCGCATTTATTTGCACATTGTTTATTTGTTCAGATGTTCTACGAGTATTAGTTATAGGTCTAAGTGATATCAAATATGCATTTTTTACGACTAGAGTGTATCTAAAATGTTTTTGAGAAAATAAATTGTTTCAGAAGTAAATAGTTTCGTCGTGTTTAGTTTATAAAGGCATGTTTTGGTACAAATCTTGAAGTGGGCCAACTGAAGTGGGAAGGGGCTCGTATCTATGCATACCTCATAGCTTCTACATATATTCAGATGCCCTCAACAAAACCTTAGCCGCTGCGCTTGTACTTCATTGAAATCCATGACTCCCACGTTGTTTTATCTACAACATGTAGTTTCCAACAATGACTCATTCTGTATTATTTTTTCGTAATAATTAAAACGATTTAATTACTGAACACAGAAGAAACAAGTCATTATGGTCCTCAGATTATATATAATAAAATTTCTTTGGGATCATCATAGCAGCCGCGGAGTTCCGGCATTTAGGCTTCTGCCTGCGCGGCTGCTTCGATATAAAAAAAAAATTATTATAGTTTTGCTGATGATCGCTGTCGATTTCCAGTAGTTTACAATTTCGCCCGCAGCTATAGTGAGATTACGCAAAAGAAGTTCGTATCTTGTTCCCCTACAAATACTCAGTGTCATCGGAAGTGTTACACCCAAATAAAATAATTTTCTCAACTTGGATTTTGGCAACGAGGTTGGCTTACATCAAAAGTGACACGATAACATTCTCACGAAATTTTATTGACAAGTAATAATAAAAAATTACACTCCTGTATACGTCTAGGCATCGACAAAATGAGATGATCGATGCCTGGTTGTGGCATCTCATTCCAAGCAAATCGAACTTCGTGGATTACCTGTGGCAGAGTTTGTGGCGGATGGTGCAAAGTGGGTAGTTTCCTCCCCATCATATCCCACACATGGTCGATGGGACTTAAATCAAGTCCTCTCAACAGCAAATCCAATATCACACCGTTCTTCACGTAGTCGCCTTCTACGACCATCGCGCGTAGCTAGACAGAATCGTGATTCGTCGCTGACGATGACATTACGCTATTCTGCCTGCCAATGTTGCCGTTCTTTGGTCTTGATGACAGTTGCCCGCAGTCAGAAGAAGCACTAACTAGGATGAAAAAAGTCCAAAGGCTCGAATGGGGCGATGTAACAGGTCCACCCTCTTCTCCAAACCATTGGTCCTGGCACGCCCCGGTGGACCATTTGGCCTTCTTCGTATTCCTCTACCTTCTTCTATTCACACACGACCCACACGCGTTACCGTCATTGCAGTACACAATTAACACGGCAGTCAATTTCGCGATAAGACAAACCAACATCTCGATAGGCAATAATTCTTCCCCTGTCAAAGTCGCTAACATGGTGATAATTTGGACGAACTCGAGGCATTCTGTTATGCTTAAATGAAAGGGCGGTAACTAAAAATATGTGTACTACTCAGGTCTCAGAAACTGCTATCTTCACAAAAACTAAGAGATACCATTTTAACAAAGACAATAAAGACACACAAACAAAGATAAAACGTTGACATTGTTGTCACTGAGTATATTATCACACCACACCATATAATCGTAGGAAGACCTTTATCAAGAACTGATCTAAATTACATAATATTTTTTTCCAACGGAAAATCTATTCTTTTTATTTCTGACATTGAATGATAGCCTATACAATTACGTAACTCGTATGGGAATATAAAGTTGGCAATTAATTGTTGAACATACATGGACGTAATCGGTGGTATATTTAAATTATACTGGCTGATGATCGAATGTTGCTGTTTTTTATTCTGTTGTGTTTCTGCCTGGAGGTGATAAGTTAATGTTTTTTCAGGTTGGCAGAGAAGTAGCTCATCCCGGTATAGCGAACGACTTCAGCGAAGGTGATGGGGCACAAAAGTACTACACCTACTACCAGTGGGTGTGCTTCGTGCTCTTCTTTCAGGTAATTTAATAAACAGCGATTTTATATTAAATATATTCAAAGCACAGCAAGGGGAATAACAGAGAAATATCTGATACAAGCTCGGATGCTCTAAAACTATAAAGTAAAAAATGTTTGTATAATGATAATAATAATAGCAATAATAATAATCTTTATTGCCCAACAGTCTTCAAATTACAGAACATTAATAAACAGGATACAATTGAAATCAAATTATTATTAATAAATAAAAAAAAAACATTAATGGCGTTTGACGTCGAAGCAGAAATACGTTTGACCTCTAGAAAAAGTATAAAGCAGACATAAACATATGTATAATAAAAGAAAAGGAAGACCCATTTATGTGACTTCTCGATCCAAGTACAAATGACCACAATTCAGTATTTTTGAGATACTGTCAAAAATTTTATCACAAACAGCAGAAATTGTATTAAAATGTTCACATACAGTAAGTACTGGCGACTTTAGAAGCAAATTAGTTCTAGCTCTCTCGCAGTGGAAGGTTTTGGTGTTTCTAGTTGTTAAACTAGCACAAAGAAGTTAATACTAGATAAAATGAAGCCGTCGTCTAAGTTATCATGTAACAGTTTATATAAAATTGTTAAAGGATTACATTTTTGTCTTAGATCTAGACTTTCTAACTCAAATCTAAAAGTAAGATGGTCATTAAGTATGTTCGTAGGAGGATAAGTAATGGGTGATTTTTTTGCTAGTATCTTTTTGGCAACACTGTTTTTTGACAGATGACGCGTGAATCGTGTCTTGTGTCATTGTCAAACTTGTTCGGTTTGGTCTATAATTTAACCATGAATCGACTTACGAACGAACAACGCTTGCAAATTATTGAATTTTACTATCAAAATTCATGCTCGGTTAAGAGAGTGAATCGAGCACTGCTTCAAATTTTTGGGCAATTTGGTCGGCCTACTGAGGGAGCTATTCGGAAGCTTGTGACTAAATTTCGAACCCAGATTACATTATTGGACATTAAACCACCAACACGCAGACGTAGAGTGAGGACTGAGGATAATATTGCGGCTGTATCCGCCAGTGTTAGTGATGACCGTGAAATGTCGATTCGCCGCCGTTCGCAGCAATTGGGCCTGTGTTACTCCACTACGTGGAAAATTTTGCGACAGGATTTGGGTGTAAAACCTTATACGATACAGCTGGTGCAAGAATTTAAGCCACACGACCTCCCACAACGTTTCCAATTTGGTGAATGGGCGATAGCAAAGTTGGAGGAAGATCCACATTTTTATCGAAAAATTGTGTTCAGCGACGAAGCTCATTTCTGGTTGAATGAGTACGTTAACAAGCAAAATTGACGCATCTGGAGTGAATACCAGCCAGAAGCATTGCATGAGCTACCAATGCATCCCGAAAAAATCACTGTTTGGTGTGGATTATGGGCCGGTGGCATCATCGGGCCGTACTTCTTCAAAGACGACACTGGCCGGAACGTAACTGTGAATGGCGAGCGCTACCGTGCGATGATAACAAACTTTTTTTTGCACAAAATGGAAGAGCTGGACTTGGCTGACATGTGGTTTCAACAAGACGGTGCCACATGCCACACCGCACACGAAACAATGGCCCTATTGAGAGGCGAGTTCGGTGAACAGTTTATTTCACGTTTGGGGCCCGTCAATTGGCCGCCTAGATCGTGTGATTTAACGCCGTTGGACTATTTCTTGTGGGGCCATGTTAAGGCTAACGTCTACAGGGATGAACCAGCAACGATTGACGCGCTGGAAGCCAATATTGGGGACCTCGGTTGGCCGCGTGGGTCAGAGTGTCGTGCTACTGACCAGCCGGCCGGCCGGGCCGCGAGTTCGAATCTCGCCTTCGCCATGGATGTTGTGTGTTTGTTTTAGGCAGCAGCGGTGGCCGCAGTAGTAGACTCTTCGGTCTCCTGATCAGTCGCCGTGCGCTGTGCGGGTTCGAGTCCCGTCCCAGGAGAAATTTTTCTCTTGGCTATGGATGTTGTGATTGTCCGTAGGTGGTAGATGGTCTCTGACTGTCGAACGCGGAGGTACCACCCTGCGGTTCTCGTAGGCGGAGCCAGAATGTGTGCATGTTGCATGCACACGTGTTCCTTCGCCAGAGTCCGTGTGGCTTCCCCCCTTTTCCCATGTATCCCCCTATAGCCCCACGGTACCCAATGGGTGCTTAGGCCTTAGGCCTTCGTAGTAGTTGGAGTATAAAAAAAAAATGTTGAAGCATTTATTCGTGAGATACCGGCCGATATGTTGGAGAGAGTGTGCCAAAATTGGACCTTGCGCATGGGCCATCTAAAGCGGAGCCGCGGCCAACATTTCCATGAAATAATCTTTAAACATTAAATTATATCGACCGTTCGATCGACACAAATAAAGATTTAATCGGTATTTAAAAATTTTTGTGTTTTTTTTGAAAATCAAATCCTATACCTGTTAAAAAATCACCCGTTACCATCAGTCTTGTAAGCAAGCATTTTCAAAAAGCGTCGTTGTACTTTCTCGATTGTCATTTTATGTTTGGAGTAACGGACAAAAGTCAAATACAATCGTAAGGGCAATATTAGTCCATTATTGGCAACAAAAGACAAAATTGAGTCAAAAACAGCTCCCAGATCTTTAATTTTCTGACAACGAGAAAGTAGCTCATCTCCTATAGTGTAATCGAAGACAAACGGACTTTTCCCTATGTTAAAACTTACTACGTCACACTTTTTTTAGATTTAAACCAAGTAAGTTTACTTCACACCATGTGTGAATATTATCCAATTCTATCCGTAAGGTATGACAGTCCTCAAAACTTGTCATAGATAAGAAAATTTTGAAATCGTCATTATTTGAGAGTATCGCACAAGTCACTTATAAATAATGTAAAAAGCAGTGGGCCAATATTTGACCCCTGCGGTACCCTCGATCTGCAATCTCATTCATAAGAGTCGTAACCACTGTATGAAACAACCTGCCCTCTGTTAGACAGATATGACTAAAAAAATAGCAAAGCTGAACGATCTAAGCCAGAGTTCCCCAAACTTTTTTGTGTCGTAGGCCCCTTGCCATGTTTTTCCGTGTTGGGTAGACCCCCTACTTACCTGATATTGATTTCCTGTAAATTTCTAACTGTAGTGAAGTTTAGTGTTAAAAACTTAAAGTAAAAACACATGTTAATTTATACATTTATTAATTGAATTTAAATTAAAGCTACTCAAAATAAAATATATGTAAAATATACGTAACATTAAATAAACAGGTGTCTGACCAATAAGTGCCCGCATTGGGAATAAGTGCCCGCATTGAAAAAAAAATAAGAGGGATAAAATAAAGTGAAAAATAATAAAAAAAAGTTTTTTACTTAAAATAGTACAATAAGCAAGTTCGTTTATTAATTATAACATAAACGTATGTTCTACAATAATTTCACTGTTAGTTTGATTAAATTCCGCTTCTTATACGTTTAAGTTATCTAAAAATTGGCAAAAAATTAACGAATTTTCAGAATAATTTAAAAAAAATGTTTTCTATACCTAAAGGGGGGTTCTTTAAAAAAATCAATGCGGTCACTTATTCCCAATGCGGGCATTTATTGGTCTGACACCAATAAACGTAAAATAAACTATAAATAAAATAACATAAGCAATAAGTCAATATTTTTAGTGAGAAGGATGAACCTGATGCTTTAATAATAAATTATCAACATTTGGCGTCAATTTTGTAAGGGTTAATCTTAAATCTCCTTGGCTAATGATGTCCAGTCTGTTTCTTTTTTTCGATAGGAGATTTGTAACAGCGCTGAACCTCCTTTCCACTAGGTATGACGATGGAAAGGAAATTAAAAATTTTCCCGCTATATTCCATAATACGGGATAAGTAACGGGTATGTGGTTTTGCAGCCAGAATTGCTGATATCCGTTTTTAAACTGAACCTTAAGTTCTTCGTTTGTACTTCAGTCAGTTCCTCTTGTATTATGACATTCGTTTCTTCTATGTCACCATATGGATTAATTATCCACAGTGGTATTACCATAGTCAAAATATCCTCAAACCTAGATTCAAAATCTGAATAGAGGGCATTTAAATGTTGAACGTAATTTGAAACGTCGTCTTCCTGGCAGCTTGTCTGTGACAAATTGGGGAACTAAGAAAATTCGCCTCGTCCAATATGTTGCTTCATTAGTTTAACTCTGGGAAGAAACGCTGATAAGATGGACTTTGTTTTAATCAAATTTAAACTGTCACCTTGTAATTGCAAATTAACCATATTAAATTTTGTAAACAAATCTGTTAAATAGACGATGTCTGTTTTCCTCTTCATTAAATTTTCTTTTAAAATTTTATCTTTAGTATCCAGAAATTCTAAAATAGTCTCAAAAAGTGCAAAAAATCTTGTCAAACATAAGCCTTTCGACAGCCAGCGTACTTCAGTGTGAAGGAGTAATTGATGAAAGTGTTCGTCATTTTCTTCACACAACTGCGCAAATAACCGCGTATTCAACGCGTTGCTTCGGATTCGGTTTACTGCATCACTGACTAAATGAAGTGGTTCATGCAATCTAACACTCAAATTTTTAGCAACTAAATGTTGTCGATGGATGACGCAATGTATTGCTAACACCCCTGACACATTTGGTTTTAAATAGCTTATAAATCCACGATAACGTCCAACCATGGCAGGTGCTCCATCTGTAGCTACTGATATTATATTTGATAAAGGAATTGCTTTTTCAATGAAATACTGATTCACCTTTAGTGTCGGTTATCAAAGTTCTTGCGAAGAGCAGTTCTTCGTAGATTTCTTGATTCATAATAAAACGAACATATGCCAATAATAATGCTGCATTGTTAGGTAAACTTGACTCGTCCATTTGTATAGAGAAATGGGTCGTTTGCAAATAATTACATAAGAGGCTTACAATATCAGAACTCATTTCATTAATACGTCTTTCAACAGTATTGTTGCTTAACGGAATTCTTTTAATGATATCAGATGCAGGTTTGTGTAAAACAGTTTTTAAAACCTCTTCAACGGCTCTCAAGATTAACTTGTCTCCGATAGTTAGCGGTTTTCCGGATTTTGTTATAAGTAACGAGAAATTGTAAGACGCCCGCAAACCATCATCATTTCTTTGTGACCTCGAAGCGAACATTCTGTCCAGTGTAGGTCTCTTCTGAAATTTATCTTTGAGTGTTTGAAAGTATTTCAAATCTTTCTCTGTTTTATCAAGGTGGCATCTTCTCAGATGATCTTGCAGTTTAGATGGTTTCATAGCGTCATTGCCCAAAGCTTTGTTGCATAAAAGGCACTTAGGCGATTGTTTGTCCAGCAATGATGGAATGAAGCCAAATTTCAAATAATCAACACTGTACAGTCTACATTTTTTAGATTCGGACATGGCATCAGTCACCTGTGGGCAAAATTAAATTATTTAAATAAGACAGAAAATCCAGCAGCTGTATATTAAAAATATTTTTTGATTTTTCCGAAAACATTCCATAATTCGTACATCTTCTTGCAACAATTAGCTCGAATTACGGAAATTGCACTGTAATTATATTACCGATTGCTAAAACTTTCAAAAAGAAACTATTGAGGAGTACTCGTGTAATTTTGCATGATTGAATATTCAACTACTAATAACTAAAGTCATGAGTGGCGTAATTTATATATCTTTGCTGACTACGAGTACAAAACTAAAATTTAATAAAAAATAATGTACTTCCTTTTCTCCAGCACTCTCAAACAAAATAACACTGACTCATTATAATTTGTGTGATATACTATCTGTTTATATTTTTTATAATATCTTCTTAGCACTTTCCTTTTCAAGATTCAGGAAACGAATAAACGTATTTGTCCCACATTCGTATTTATAGAGTGACGAATTGAACAAGTCAGTGCAAGGTAGCGAAGCTCTGAGACTGCGACTCTCAGGTTTTTACAAGTTCAAAATGTATTGCGACCACAAAGCGAATACCAACATCCTACAACTTACACAATTTTATAAAAATATATATTAAATTTTTTACTTCATAGGTACTTTTATAAATAATGTATATGTTTTGATATTATAAGATAGTATGATGTAAGTAAATAGGTACTATCAGTGTATGTGTTGAGATCCACTATCGTGGATCCCCATATTCATTTCATGGACCCCCAAATTTTTTTTCGCTGACGTAGACCCCTTGCAGGTTGTCATAGACCCCTAGGGGTCGATATAGAGCACTTTGGGAATCAATGATCTAAGCCATCATTTCTAAGTTTGTTAATAAGAACTGCATGATTCAACTTGTCGAAGGCTTTGACAAAATCGGTATATACTGCTCGTACATCTACTTGGCGACGTCTGTCAACCATTGAAAAACTTTTTAAACACACAGAAGGATGATCGAAAACAATAGGGAATATTAAATTACTATCAACGTCTGTATTACTTCCGACATAGTAGGCTAGGCGAGAGCATTATGGTAATTGCGAGAAATCTTGTGCTTAAGATTTTTTTAGCTATATTGTATGCGGGAACATTTATCTGTTATCTTGCAAACTCTAATGCTATGTGGTCCGATATCTTCTCCCATACTTCTCCCAAAACTCATGCAATCAGAAAATCGATTGGCTTTGGAGTTATCGCCATCTTTAAGAATTGCTTCTTTTAAGCCTGTACTATTTTGCCTGAAGTTGTTTTTTGTTATTTTTCAATCAGATTTAGAGGATTGTTCCCAAATGATGAGCCGCTGAGAAAAAGCTATGAGTGAACATTTAGTCCAGTTAATGTAGGCATAGCAATCGTCTAACCTGCAATTTTATCTGTCGTTAAAAATATTACAGCATATTCAACGAAGGCTGCATAAAAATTAGTAGGCGGATAAAATGTCCATAGTGGTGAAAAACTTCTCGATACTTTGGCCTTTCAGAATACCTATTAGTAATCAAATATCCTAAATAGTTTCTGGGCAAAGTACACAAAATGCTTCAGGTTCCCTAATCCTTTAGCTACCATTGTTGATCTTCTTCATTCCTTCTTTGTGTCCATATTAGGCTACCTTTACATGAGGTGTTCGAAGTGTCTGCTCTAGTGCAAGCACTACATAGTAGAAAATTTCAATCAATTCTGTAGTTTTTGAGACTACGTAGTTACACATGAGCTTTACAGATCGATCTAGATACAATACTCCCTTCTGGCGCGAAAAGCGAGCCGTACCATTATTTCAGCAATGACCAAAAGTTCGGAAAAGTGTCTTACAATTTGGTGTCAAGATATACAGGGCGGCGCATCGAAAACGAAACAGACGCATTTACTGGCAGCTCAGCTTTTTTTTGGAAAAACGCTCAGATCCGTCGATTTTGTTTTCGAGGGGGACACAAGTTGGGCAAAAAATCACGTTAACACGTGCAGCCCGCTGGGCGGGGGTGACACCAACGCTAATATCTTAAATGGAAAGGGGGGTCGAGTGATACCTTATTTTAAACGTCTTTCAATTCCCTTTATAATGATGTAAAATACATGAGCTTCAGTTCAGTACCTAGTTTTGAAGATTTATTGATTTAAAGCTTAAAGTAGACTTTAATAGGTACAGATTAGTTTGTACTACTTTCAGAAGAAATTTGACTAAAAGAATTTACTTAATAAGTAAAGCTTCTCTTCACTACGCCCATGGTTTGTTTAATATTTTGTTGTTGAAAATAGCTATTGGAGCGATTTTTTGTGGCAAAAAAGTTATTTCTTGAAGAAAGATAAGGAAATATCTCGTACTTATTTTAAATAGGAATCTAGTACATAGTTTGCGATTGATTTGACCAAACTTTGTTGCTAAAATAACTTGTAACGCTTCATTACATAAATTAACCATGGTATATGCCACAGCAGAAAGAGTTGAAATTATCGAAATATTTTTCGGTAATAATCAGTGCGCTAATAGAACAGCAGAGATACTTAATGAGCGAAATGAGAACAGTAACGTGCATCGAAAATATGTTCTAGAAGTTGTAGCTAAATTCCGGGAAACTGGGTCAGTCGCCACTAAAAAACGCAACATTGAAAATCCCATAAGGAACGAAGCAACAGAAGTGGGGGTTTTAGGGCAAGTTTATGTAGATCCTACGTTAAGTACCCGCAAATTGGAGACTGTGTGTGGTGTTAGTCGTCGTACTGTCCAAGGGACTCTGAAGGCCCATAGTTTTCATCCGTATAAAATTCACCTGGTACAAGAAGCATTACGTGTTCGACAATATTTAGATCAGATGTTTCCAGATCGATGTATTGTTAGAAGAGGTGCCATTGAATGGCCCCCAAGATCGCCAGATTTATCACCTTTGGATTTCTGTATGTGGGGTCATTTAAAAAGCAAAATCTATGCTACTCAGCCAACATTATTAGAAGACCTGCGACAAATAATTGTGAATGAGTGCCTTCAAATTACTCCTCAAAGATTGCAAAATGTGCGGCAACGTTTTGAACAAAATCTTTATTATTGCATGGAGAGTCATGCTGGCCATTTTCAACATTTACTTACCTAACGGGTCAGTTCATTTTTCATTTTTAAATTACCTTGCTGCCAAATGTATTGATCTCCACTAATGATGATACGTATTAGTTTTATCTAAGCTTTAAATCAATAAATCTTCAAAACTACTGAACTGAAGTACATTCATTTTATATCATTATAAAGGGAATTGAAAGACCTTTATAATAAGGTATCACTCGACCCCCCTTTCCATTTAAGAATTTGGGGGTGGCGTCACTCCCGCTTAGGGGGCTGCACGTGCTAACGTGATTTTTTGCCAAACTTGTGTCCCCCTCGAAAACAAAATCAACGGGTCTGAGCGTTTTTCAAAAAAAAAAACTGAGCTGCCAACTATTCACAAATTTACACCAACATATAAAATTCGAGGAAAATACCCAATATACTTTAAACTTGAAACAATACAAACAGTTAAGAGAAAAAATAAGTAACATAGACTATACAAACGTTTTAATGATCCATACTCATATCAGATATTCTGTGACCTTAGAGCCAAATCAAAAATCTTAATTAAGGAAAACCTGGATGAATACATGACAATGATGGAAAACAATATATTGAACGACAGCCGATACTTTTGGAAATACGTTTCAAGTAAGAAAAAATGTCATGTCTCTATACCTAGTTCTATAAATCATTCAAACTATGAAGTTAAAACCGGAAGTGGGGTGTGTAATGCCTTTGCTGATTTCTTTGCAAGTGTATATGTTAAATCTAAACATTTTTATTTAAACAAGGATGCTAGTCCTATTGATGTTACCTTAATATCCATTGAAAAAATATATCAACAAATAGTGTCCTTAGAAATTAAAAAATCAGTAGGCCCTGACGGCATACCTTCTGTATTTATAAAAAACTGTTCCGCTAGCTTATGTTTACCACTTCACCTAATTTTCAAACTATCATTAACTCAAAGAGTCTTTCCAACGAGATGGAAAGAAGGTGAAATATTGCCTATTCATAAAGGAGGCGATAGACATCTTGTGGAAAATTATCGACCTATCACTAAACTTTGTATTTTCTCAAAAATTTTTGAAAAGCTGATTTATGATCCTATCTTAAACATTACAAAAAATATCATTACGGATCACCAGCATGGATTTTTCCCTAAAAGATCTGTAGAGACGAATTTGATGAGTTTTATAGAATATGCCTCTCACGCAATAGATGAGAAACTGCAGGTGGATGTTATTTATACCGACTTCAATAAGGCTTTCGACAAGATTGATCATTCTATCTTGATGGAGAGACTTGCTGAGGTGGGTGTAGATGGTCCATTATGGCAGTGGCTAGTATCGTATATACGTATAAGTAATCGTAAACAGGTGGTGACTATCAATGGGTATCGTTCGGAGACATTCTTAGTAACTTCAGGCGTACCACAAGGTAGTCACTTAGGACCATTGTTATTTAACATATACATTAACAACCTTACTTCTGTTTTTCATTTCAGTAAATATTTGTTATATGCTGATGATCTAAAGATATTTACTATTGTTAGAAATGTAAATGACGGTGTAAAACTTCAAAGCGATTTGGAATCTCTGCAAAAATATTGCACTGAAAACAGTATCTTCCTGAATTTAACAAAATGTCATTACATGAGACTTACTAGAAACATAGCGAACACTATAGATTTCAGATATAAGATAGGGACGGCAGAACTGGAAAAGCTTCATGTAGTAAAATACCTAGGGGTATACATTGATGAGAAACTCTCATTCATCACCCACGTAGAGCACATCGTAAATGATGCAAAATAGAATACTAGGGTTCATAAACAGGACATGCAGAGAATTTACGAACCCAAAAATGCTTCTTTCATTGTACTACGCTTATATACACAACAAACTGATGTTTGCATCAGTAATATGGAATCCGTCTTACAATGTACATATAGTCAGGCTAGAAAGAATTCAACACAATTTTTTGAAGATGTTAGCACATAAAACTCACCAACCTGTTACAGATCATTATACGCAAATTATGGAACAGTTCAATATGATTTCCTTAAAAGATAGAAGAACGATTTCTGACATTTGCTGTGTCCATAAATTGTTGAATGGCCTCACTGACTGTCCGGATCTTTTGGCAAACTTGAACTTTAACACTCCTGATAGAACGTTTAGAACCTATCATCTGTTTAGAATACCGTTCCGTAGAACCAATCTTGGTCTTAATTCCCCTTTGTTCAGGGATCAAAAAAATCATAATAATTTCTGTAATATAGATTTATTTAACATTAGCTTGACCTCCCTGAAAAAGGCTTTAAAGTATGAGTATTACAGCTCTATGGCAGACCAAAATAGAAATGTTTTATTATTTTACTTAACTCAAGTTATCACCTCCAATATCATTTCTGGTATAATTTCAATTTAATTTTGATTTCAGTTTTAATTAAACGTAAGTAAATGTTAAATTATGTATACTCCTTTTATTAAAAAAGTTAAATTAATAGTTTATTGCTTATAATTAGAACTACTCCCTCAGTTTATGTTGTTACAACAATATCGGAGGATAAGAGGGTGTGTGTTGGGTTTACCTGTTAACACCCCAAACTGTATATAAATAAATAAAATAAATAAATAAATGCGTCTGTGTCGCTTTCGATGCGCCACCCTGTATATATCTTTTAATGATGATCTTCTTGGATACGCTACCCACAACCACACAATCGAATAATTCTAGCTCAACTTTCTCAAAACATCCTGTACACAGTACGTAATGCTTGAACGGCTACGTTAAGCTGTAAAGGAAATGAAGCAAGGCATTGTCCACTAAAACCACTATTTTTTCCACAATTCTTTCAATTCAATGAGTCATTGTAATATTTCAAAACGGTCACGCCGAAAACAGATTTTCGGTTTTTGATAAGAATCTTATTGTTCATTGTCTTCAGGACCAGAACATCACTTTATTTCTTTTATTTCCGTTTCGTGACTTACGATACAGTCTGCAGTATATTTCATTAAAATGTGTCAAGTTGGTTGACTCTGCAATACTCTATGCTTTATTCCCATTTTCTAAAAATTCACCCATCTTTAAACACCTCCATGACCTGTGCAACCTGTGTACTTTGGGCACATTGGTTTTTAAATACAACATTTTTCTGTCTTATTACAGTAGCTTATATGCTTCGTGATACTTTGAAAAATTCGTGCATCTTTTTAAAACGGTATTAAATTTATCAGCCTCAACGCTACGTATCTAATGTATTGACCTACAATGTATTTTTGCAGGCCCTTGCTTGCCATGCACCGAAGGTCCTATGGGACCTGTTCGAGAATAACCTGATGAGGACGTTAGTGATGGGACTCAACATTGGAGTGTGCCATGAAAATGAGAAGAACAAGAAGAAAGAAATTATTCTAGGATATCTGATGCGACATGTTAAGGTAAGCAAAATTTTGGGCCGTTTGGTTTCTTTGATAAATTTTAGAGGACATTGCAAAGTACTAATAGAAAATATTTATTCTCGAATAAAGCCAGGAAAAAATAAAAGTGATTTTCAGATAAATCTGGTAGTGAAACAAATGATCTTATAATTTTAAGGTCTACCTAGTAAATTCTGCTTTTTTTTTAAATAAGTGAGGTTTGACAACGTAAATAATATATTTCTACATTTTTGGAATCAGAATTTTAAACTCTATTCATGTGAGCATAAATCCAATATGGCGTCTATGAGAGAAAAAGGTTGATGCTAGGGACAAGATACCAAACGTCATATAGGGGAAAAAGGGGCAATGTTAATGTGCAATTTATTTTGAAATTCCAGTACGAATAAAGTCAGGAAAAAATTAAAATGATTTTGGGAAATTTCATTTTTTCCGTCACTCTCCGGAAGTACTTTGTATTTTAAAACTTTCTAAGCGGCATTTTGTTAATGATTTAAATACGCAACTTTGCTCCATTTACGCGACTTGGTAACTGTTACAGTTTCCGAGATCTCGATGGTGAGGGTCGAATTTTAAGCACCCTGTATAGTTACGCATTGTAAATTTGCAAATTTTACCGAAGGCGTGGGAAGTATACCGTCAATCTAAAAAGTTTGGCAAACGGATCTGCAACAGCGGGGTATCGGTGAGGGGAAAGCAAAACATGGGTGGTTTCATTCACAAAATGCCAGCGGCGTGCGGTATTTTATGAAAGTTTGGGATTATTTCATAATTGGTTTAAATTTAGTAAACTATACGTTTATGTTTCACTTTAAATTTGGGAAGTATCTCAATAAGCCCACAATGATATGGAGCATTGTCCATAATAATAAATAAAGTCTCGGGTAAACTTAAAAATAGCTGTTCTCTATAGTCTACACCATGTAAAAAAACACTTGAGTTTGTTTCTACACTTCAACAAACGGAAAAATGTCTACTCACTTCCCAAAATTGCCACAATTCAAAAAATCATTATAACTGCGCGATTTAAAACCTAATTTGAAAATCAAGCTAGCGTTTTTGTCAAAGCCGTAAATAAAATATATTTTTCAAATACAAATAGATACTTAACGTGGTTTTTTACCTTGAGAATATACACATATATATATATATATATATATATATATTATACATCCGTGATCTTATAATATGCTCATTTACTTTAAAAGGTGCCACAAGCCGAAACATGACCAGAATTAATTTTTATTTTATAATCCGCATCTTTCTGGATTCCTATTGTTGCAATTTTGGACTGTTGATGTGGATATTTCTAAAGCATCGGTGTCGCTTAAATAGAAACAAAGAACTTTAAACATATTTCATATCCACCTCTGTAATAAATAATACTTACATTATACAGCATTTCAAAATTACATTTCACCTATTGAATTAGCATTGGTATTCGTCAACTTCATCATTATCATCATCGTCACTGTCGTCATCAGTTTCGCTGTCGTCATCGTGCCCTATAGTTATTATTCCATTTCTTCCATAAATTGATCATTTTCCCAAAATTTATCTTCAATGTCCCTAACATGTTGACAAAATGTCTGCCACTCATTAATGGATATTAAGGACATCGCTTCCTGAGTAACTTCTTTCAGTGCGGTTAAACTGAAGTTTCCAGTGGTATTGCGGCTTCTTATATGAAATTTAAGCTTTGCCCAAGCTAATTCTATTGGGTTTAGCTCGCATAAATAAGGAGGTGTTCTTAGAGGAGTATGTCCATGTGATCTTATGATCCGATCAACTACATAATTTTTTTGGTTGTCAGGGGGCTTATGAAGTAAGACCAGATCGAACAAGTCAAATTTTCTGGCAGTTGCCTCATGATTTATGCCTATAAAATATTTAATTGTATAGTTTGATATGTACATGCATGTTTTGAGTCATAAGTACCTTTCTTTGTCAACCAGGCCATTATATCTTTTTTCGAAGATGATTTTGTCGGGGTTTTATCTTCCTGAAGGGAATGATATGGAGCATTGTCAAATACTATAACCGAATTGGCAGGTATATTCGGGAGGAGTTTTTCGGTGAGCCAGCATGTGAAATTTTCCCGATTCATCTGACCGTGGTAATCGCCTGTAGCTAATCCCGCCTTAAATATCAAACAGGCATGGTCAACAAATCCATTTCCTGAACCTGCATGCACTATAATGAGTCGACCTAAAATATACAAGACGATTATATAAAATGTACAAATCAGAGCTAAATTTAACATACATATAGCATTTTTGCTTACCTGTAGAACCTATACTGCTTATTACACCAGAAACAGTTTCGCTCTTCCAGCATTTTTTGAAAGTCAAGTCATTGTCCACCCAGGTTTCGCCCAAATAAACAATATTGCGCCCTTCTTCACGATATCTACGTATTTCACGGATGTATTTGTACCTCCATTGCAATATATTAGGCCTCTCCATCAAAACTTTTCGCGATAAACTCATTCAAGGAATAAAAAGGATGTTTAACTAATTCTTACCAAAGTGTGTTTTTAAAATGTTTTAAAGTAAGATTCTTAGTAGTGTTTTTTAGCTTGTTATATACCCTAACATCAAGTTTTTATCTGAGATCTTTAGCCTGTGAGCGCTAGGTTGAAGCAGATTGGAATACCTGGTGTTATATCCATGAACATCCGAGTGCATTGAGAATTTATGCTTGTTCTTATGAATCTCAACAAGGCTCTGATAGATGTACATTGAATAAATTGTAAGCATATTTAATTTTATAAAGAGTGGCCTACAGTGGTCACGATAACCAGCTCCCGCGAGAATTCTAATTGCTTTTTTTTTGTAATATAAAGACTCTATTTATATGGGTAGAATTTCCCCAGATTAATAAGCCATATTGGATGTGAGAGACGATGAGGGAGTAATAAACACTAACAAGGCATTCATTACTAAGGCAAGTTTTTAGTCTGCGTAGTAAGAATATGTTTGTGGCTAATTTGCTACATAGGGTTTCAATGTGCTTTGTCCATTTTAGTGAGCTATCAATTGTTATGCCAAGTAATTTTACACATTTGTTTTCTGCGAGAGAAGAGTTACTAGTTACTACTAGCCTGTTAGTTTTGTCTGAGTTTAGGTATAAGCTATTCTGTTTAAATCAGTTGTTTGCCTTTTCTTCAAGCTGTTTAGATAAGCTTTGTAATATATGAAGGTTTTTGTGACTCTTTATAAGGGTGGTGTCATCTACGTACAATACACAAATATCTGGTAATAAGTAGTAATAAAGATCATTATTATTATTATCTTCGTTATGAATTTTCCTAATAGAAGATACTCCGACTCCGGTAGAAAGGGACACCCTATCAAGTTTAAGTTTAAGCAGCAACTTGAGGGAATTGTTTGCCGCTTCCTCATCGCAAACCCTATAAATAATCATCAGAATGTTAGCTTAGCATTTCCTTGTTTTTTATTTATATTCAGACTCAGGCGTCAAAAACTACAATTATTGCATATTATTATTACTAACCTATAAACATTCGCAATCACTTCTCTTGTTTGGCTATGAAGCGTCTTTCCGCGAGTAAATTGGTTCATTTTAAAAAAATAATACTAAAACGAATAACAATAACAAATAACAAAACACCAAACTATTCAAAACCACACAGTACTAAACATACAAACTTAATAGAACAATAAATAGTTAACAATAATAGTTGTAAAACTCATACACGACAATCAACGGAGATAAAACCTACGCCACTGGACTTTTCAATAGTATGGATATTCTAAGAAAGGAGCAAAAAATTGTCTGGGACGCTACCCAATAGGGAGTCGAATTTTCTCATGGCGACAAAACATGTGAGGATATCCGCCAACCAGATACTTATAATAGGATTCAGTAGTAAAAAATAGTTATTAAATACAAATAGAGCTAACAACCCATTAAAATACTCAGTATTTTGAATTATTATTTTTTGGAATTGTGAAAAATCGATTTTCAAATCATTGAAATTACTTCATTATTGCTTTTTTGTAGTTAAATTTGGCAATATCGAATATTTTCGGTCGCATTCCTTTCGCTGTTGCAGATTCGTTTGCCAAACTTTACTTGGCGCCATTTTTTGTTAAGGATCCATATTTCAATTGAAAATATAAACGAAAAGATATTTAAAGTAGCAACTGACGTAGGCAGAAGTAACTATTATTCACTCAAGTATTGTATTGATGTTTCACGTGCATGTAGGAGCGCAAAGTCCAATAAAGCAAATTGCCTTATTTTTCCTCGTTGCATAGATTAATACCTTAGAGGTTGCCGATTTTTGCTTGATGAATTTTCTGTAGGTAAAGACAAGATGACATCAGCTTAAAAGGTTGTTGAATTTGGCAACTATTGATAATAAAATATTTTTGATATGAATGACTGCGGAAAAATTATACTGAAAAAAAAATTCCAGTAGGCTGACTGTGCACTTCCCACGCCACGCTATCAATTCATAAACGATTATACGTGGTACTAGTTAGCCCCTGTTGTATACGCAGGGTGATTCACAACACTCAAAAATGGAATGAAGAAACTTTTGGCTTGACTTGAAAAAAAAAATGGTAGTAATAACGATAACAATTGTATAACACACAACTTTGACAAACTATCTCCCAAGAAACGTTAAGTAGACATCAAGGCCTCCTATTTTATTTTGAAAGTAACTGTACTCATTTGTAGCAAATTGAAGGGAACATTCGAGAATTTGCGTGTTTCGAAAAAAAAACATTGGCGTACTACAAATGTTATTTGGAAAAATAATGCCACTAATCCCCTGTATCTCCACCACTGGTGCATGTTAATTTTAAGTAAAGACTTTTGAATCTGGAAAATACCAAATTTTGGCTCATTCCATTTGGCGCTTTTGAAGATATTAAAATTTTATTTTTAAACTTACACAATTAATGAAAAATGTTACATAGAAGACCCCGTTTAAAATGCGGTCCTGTGTATGTTTCATTTTTGGTCAC